GGTTGTTACGCCACTGCTGTGGAGAGAAGTTAAGTGTGAGCTACCCCTTCTTTTCTGCTCTTCATTTACAGATTTCAAAATATAATTTTTCAATATGGTCCACTCATGTGAAGTATAAAACTTTATGTTGTAGCTGTGGTACCCTACAATGTGCAGATGCTGACTTTTGCTGACTTTTTATAAAACTGACTTTATACAGACACCCTATTTACAGACCGTGTAGTCCAATCTAAATGCATATAGATGTTTTTTGATTATTTTTTTTCATGGTCATAACCACAGCTGCTGATGAATGTCTAATTACCCCAGAGGTGTTAAAACTCTCCCATCCTCAATTTACACAATTGTGAATGTGAGTGAGTCAGGTTGATTCTTGATTTTTCAATCTGATTCACTTAAACTGATCTAATAGACATAACGTTTGACTTACTATGACTACCTAATACAATATGCGCTAACCCTATAAAAGAGGAAATGTATAGTAATCACAGAAATGAAAAGCAATTAAAGCAGACCTTGCACTAAAAAAAGTGTCACTATTTACTGAGGCAGTAACTTAAAAAAAACCCTGGGGTGAAAAAAGTTAGTTAATATACTCACCGTACCCCAGCTTCCGCTATGGCACCAAGACGAGGATAACATCATCATTCTTCCAGCGAGATCTTGGAGAATGGCGAGTAGATAAAATCTCATAAGATCACGCTCCACCACAATGCAGTAGCATCTTCTTGCAAGATTTGGGCTACTCGGCATTCCCCGAGATCCCGCCAGAAAGATGGCAACGCCAGCCCCTGCAGTACAGAAGCTAGGGTTAAGGTAAGTTGTTTTGCAAACTTTTTCTCCCTAAAGGTTAATTTTCTGTACTGCCATGGAGACGAATGGTGCTCAGTAAGTAATCAGACCTTGCTTGTATGTAATGGTCAGCTTTAAACAACAACATGTAGAGACTAAACAATTTGCTGTATAATTCATCAACATTCATCCAGGTAACCCACCTGTCTTGGGCTTCTCTTTCATAGGAGTCATATAACCATCTTCTCCTACTACACCTCGAGAGTTGCGCTCTCTTACAAACGCAGTGGGGTCGGCACTATACCTCTGTAGGCTGCTTTCCTCTGAAACCCGCTCTGTGTTTTGTTTGCGCAGGGTTCCGTTACAGCATATGTCTTCAAAGACTTCTGCAGTGGCACCCAGCACTGTAGGGACCTCTGGTATGGGACATGCAGCTGGTCTGTATGGCAGAGTCACAGATTCTTGAGTGGTATAGCCTCCATCTCTGTATACAAACTGATTCTGTAAAAAATAAAGTATGAGTATAAGTTTAACATTTCACAACAGAAAAAGTTTAATATCATATTTAACTCTGTTGATCTGAACTGCGAAATCTTCAGTGTTGGAATATATTATAGTTTATATTCCTACTGCTGATTATTCTGTGACACCAACCAAAACTATACCACCATGACAAAATTGGCCACATAACATAGAATGTAGAGATGCGCAGAGAAATAAAAGACTTTAACTATCCTAAGTTCTGTGTTACACAACTGCTTTATAACTCCACCCACTTTCTCAGTAGGCATTTCAAGAATTCTAAAATGATGTCAGTAAATAGGAAACAGCTTTCATGTTGCATGGAAACATTACATAAATCTAATATAAAATGTTAATGCTGCTCCAATATATAACAAAATATAATAATATTGAGTTTAGAACTGTATCTAAAAGAAATGCACAGTGTATGTAGTACATTGGGGCATACAATAATAAAAGTGTGAAATAACCCATACGTAGCAACATTGTATAGTTCAGTCCCTGAACTAAGGTCAACAAAAGATGCAAGCTGATCGAGTCACAGTGAGCTATAAAAACATGACAAAAGGTACCTACTGAGCACAACTTACAAATACAGTAGTTCCCCTTTAAATATCAAACTAAAATTACAAATCTGAAATAATTTGTATACCAGGATGATAATATGAAGATACCATGAGGGACATTCATGAACACAGTTGCGCTCTATTGACAAATGTCACACGAGGTGAATGTGTGCAAATCATATACAATACCTATTCTATCTTTTGTGGCTGAATGTTTCTAGCATTCAGCAACTTCTTGTTTTGGGAATGTCTGTCACCAATGTGCAAAAATGTCTGGCCATTTTTGGAAAAAGATTGCCACAGAATTGATGCAGCAATCTGAATCATCATTAAAAAGCCATGGGAACCAATTTATAAACAGGCACAGTTATCTGAAAAGGCTCCTTAAATGCTTTTCTGAAAGCTATTTTTTAGGCAAATTGCAACAAGTTGGAAAATCTTTAGCATATCTGCCACACTTTCACATAACCCAATAAAATAACGGTTGGAAAGCAATAATGTACATTTCTATCACTAATTAGCAAACTGCAGCACAATAAAGGATGCAATGGCTGCAACGCTTTTGATAATGATCCCCCACGTTGTTAAAACACTTACACATAATAAAGTACAAATAGATATATTAAACCTATTTATAAAGATAATTACTGGTCACAATCTAGAGACATTGATACTATTCTACTGTCCACCGATGCGGAGAAGGTGTTCAACAGGGTTTCTTGGGATTTTATGTTTACGGTTCTTCGTCACATAAGTTTGGGACATAGAATGCTACACTGGATCCAGACGATTTACTCTAGACCGGCTGCACGAGTTAAGACAGCGGGTTACTTGTCTACTTATTTTCCAGTTAAGAAAGTCACCCGGAAAAGCTGCCCACTATCTCCTACTCTTTTTGTTTTGACTTTGGAACCCTTTCTTAGACTCGTTCAGAATGATCCTCTTATTAAAGGCATACAAGTGGGGAAGGAAGAACATAAAAATGCGGCTTTTGTGGACGAAATGCTCTTTTTTATCACTGAACCCAAATCCTCCTTTCGCAGACTTTTGGTCTTATTTAAAGAATATGGGCTTCTTTCTAATCTTAAAATTGATTATAACAAATCTGAAGCTTTAAATGTTTCCTCTCAGTCTGCTATGGTGGATTTCCTGAAACGTCTTTATCCCTTTTAGTGGAGCGATTCCTCCTTCAAAAATCTAGGGATACAACTCCCTGCCCAATTGATGAACCTATATTCTTTTAACTTTATTCCACTTTAGCAGAAGTTGAGAGCAGACTAGCAGAAATGGCACTCTCTTACTTTTACATGATTCAGCAGGATCGCTCTCCTGAAAATGAATATGCTTCTTAGATTATTGTATTTCTTCCAAACCATACCCATTTCTCTCCTGAGGCATTACTTCAAGACTTAAGAGATGGATCTAGCTAAATTTGTCTGGAATGATAAACGTCAGCATTTGTCCTGGGCGCTTCTGAATTATCCGAAGACCAGGGGTGGTCTAGCAGTACCTGATGTATATAGATACTATGTGGCTTGGATGCTTCATTGGCATGCCCACCAACCATTTAAGGTTTGGGTATCCATAGAATTTGAGGGTTTGGATCTCTGACATTAATAGACCTTTATTACTTTCCCATCATCCTCTGATCTTGGCGACACTGCAGGAATTGTTGCTTCTACGACGAAGGAATACTCTTACCACTATAAACAGCCCCTTGATGCCTCCGGAGACTAGCACTCCAAAGCTATTGGCCCCAGATACACAACCTAGCCTGCATTTATCTATAGATCAGTTATACAGATTTCTGCTGGCTGTTGCAGAGGGCTAATGCAAGCATGTGCAAATAAAGATAATATTTAAAGATCTTCCTCTGCATGTTGGGAAGGCTTGTCGAATGGGGCGGCGAACATGGACTTAAGATAATTGAGCATAGTGGGTGTCCAAAGGGAATAATTATTAAAACAAAGATTTGCCTAATAAAAATGGCTGATGATTGCAAAGAACCCAAGAAACTAGCAAAAGAGCAACAATTTGCCGCTTTATAAACATGTCCTCTAATGTGGTATACATTACATTACCCATAATAACTTAATCAAGAATGGGTAACGATAGCGGAAAGTGAAGCTGTACAGCTAGGCAATGCTAAAAATATGGACAAAAAGGAATGCAATAGCTTTAAAATTAAGGTCAGTTAGCAGGTGATGCAGCAAGGAAAACTTTATGCACATGAGTGACAAAGTGTTGCTTTACACATTTGCTTTATTTGATACAGATGACTTTATTGAGTTAATAATGCCTGCCCATAGCATGGTTACATACATCACTACATGTCCTGCTCTAACAGCCTGTGGCAGAGTCCATACTCATAAGATTAACCAAGTGGAACTAATTGCCCAACATCTGTAAGGCTGAATGTCTACAGTCTTCAATCTACTGCAGTAGAAGATTCACTATTCAGTTTAAAGTTCGATTGGAGGTTTAACACTGTTCTTCAATTACTGTCTACAGTTACCAATTCACTTAGTGATTGTTATGTATTGTGCAAGGAAAACCAAAAGTTAATTACATAGATTATATTCCATAATATTCTGTGATTTAGATATGTATCATTTTGGTTAAAAGCTATTTTACAATTGTATTGATTGGCAAGCAACCAATGGTCCGTTTCTTCAATGCAGCTGTCATAAGGATAATCATAAACTGCTATGATTTAAAACCTTTTCCTCTGTAATGAGAGATTACAGAATAGTATAGCAGGCTGTTTATTAAAAATGGATGTTTTTTTTATCTAAGTTAGTTAGATCTTAACCTACCAAAGCATAAAGAACAGTGAAAAACGTGGTGCCTAGATTACTAGGATGACTGATGATGATGATGACAACTAGGATATGTCCACTAAACAAAAAGACAATACTGTATGGGACCAAGTTTGCTAGATGGGACAAGTATTCAGGCAGAGATCCTAATGTGAAGATCCTAAAGTTTACAATTGCACTCTTGTTATTTAGCTCCTATTTATTGGCCACATGTGTTGTCTAAATGTATCAGGTATAGTTAGAAAACCACGCCATTCTACATTAGACTGTATCAGTCCAGGTTGTTATGATAGGTTGGGCTGGACAACTTTCCCTCTCCTTGACTTTTGACACACCTTGCTTGCTTGCACCATACATTTTGTTTCAGAATGGATATATTCCTCATCTTTATGACACTTCATAATGCACACCATGACAGTGACAAAGATTAATAGCCAAATATCTTAGTGATAATGAAAGCATGCTACGCCACCTGTTCACATGTCACAGGGAATAAACACAACAATGAAATCCAAAGAAAAAGTATATTTTGTTAGCATTTTCTATGCTTCCAGTACATGCAAGAGTTTGTCGGGATTCACAAAAATAACACTGAGAGTGTATGCAAACATATCACATACAGTATTGCCTATAACTGAGCCAAACCTTAACCCCCCATCATATGTTTATTGAGCACATAAAGTATTAATACAAGTATAGACAGCTCATTGTATTGCCTTTTAGCACACCAGTATTTAGTTTTACTAATTCAGGCATATGTTTATTGACTGGCTGCCTAAGGCCAGGTTTAGAGAGCCTGCTTCTGACAGCTGGGCGGAGCCAGCCGTCATCTCACGGCTGGCTCCGGCCACTTTGAGAGATCAGCGCCCCAGGTTACCAGCTAACCAGGGACGCTGGCATTACACACTGAGAGCAGCCTCTCCGTGTTCTCAGTGTGTAATGACTGATGGCGTTCCTGGTTACCTAGTAACCAGGAATGCCATCGGTCATTACTCTCCCGGACGCTCTGGGAGTCTAATATGACTCCTGGCCGCCCGGGAGATAAACACTTTCTGCCAGAAAGGTTCACTCTGCTCGATCAAGCAGAGTAAACCTTTCCCTGCTCGTTTTTTTCTATTTTTCTGACATCGGAGCTGTTGGCTGCTTTCAGAATAAAAAAAAAAGAAAAAAATCACCCCAGGGAATGCATAGCTAGATTCCTATTGGCTATTTCAATTTGCAATAGCCAATAGCAAACTAGCTATTGCAGCCGCCCACTGCTGCTTTCAATGAGCAGAAGGGGACCTGCAGTTCTCCATCAGGTCCCACTCTGGTGATTGACAGCAGCAGAGGGCGGGTGCAATAGCAAGTTTGCAATTGGCTATTGCAAAGTGAAATAGTCAATAGGAATCTAGCTATGAATTCCTATGTTGATTTTTTTATTTTTTTATTCTGACGGCAGCAGAACCGCCCGGCCAATAGAAAACAGCTGTCACTGCTAGCTCCGCCCAATCGTTTTCTATTTTATTTTTTACTACTTTTTAAACTGTGTTTCTATTGTACTCAGTACCACAGAGGTACCGAGCAGAACAGCCAAGCCGAATGCCGCAGAGCG